GTTCAGCAGAGCTCCCTACCCTGCTGCTCTGTGTAAGGTCTCTCTGCCGGCTGAAATTACTTCAGGCTCCCCGTGCCATGGCTAGGAAGGGGGATGGAGGGAGCGGGGGCAGATGCACACCCTTCCTTAGTATCCCAACATTCTTCTCACAACTAAAGAGCCAAATCAGGACCTGTTCAAGCTCCAGTGAAACCAACAGAGTTAATGTCAGGGATACCTTTGGGCCTGCATCTGCAAGGCCAAAATCAAGCACACTAGCCTTTTATTGGTTATGCTGTGATTCATCTGCCTTGTCCTGCTCACCACAGCAAAACCAAAACAACTGCAGCTTCTGTCCCTCCTGCAAAGGCAAGCGAGTGGATGGCGTCTGCAGTGCATTCCCCGCGGCCACAATTGCCAGTTCCCGTCACTTACCCCTGGGCAGACCCATGGGAGAGGATGAAGCTGCACAGGGGCTGTTGAACTCTAGAAATGCTATTAGAGAGAACTGTGCAGAAGGACATGGCTGTACAGCTCAAACGCTGGGACAACCTAAAGTTGTCTTTGCCGGGCGGCCTGCTCCAGCAAACGTCTTTTTTCCATCTAAACCAGACAGAGCTGATATAAAAACCCACCAAGATGCTGGTGTATCTGCAACAGTAACCACAATGTACAGATGGCTCACAGACAGATGTATTTTACTAACTGTAGAAGGATATACATGACCAGAAAGGACACATTTAGTGGCTCCAACTGGTTGCTGGTGTTCTCTGTCATAAAACACAGCAGGAGCCACTAGAGAGCACAGAAACTATGTAAAGACCTCTTCTGCTATTGATAGACACTGAGGACATGAAGTCTGCAGTACACACGTTGCAAAGACAGCCTGAAGCGCAGTGTCCAGCTGAGCTCTTCCTCATCTCAGCTGCTTCCCTGGGCTTGCGCCACCAGGAAAGAAGATCTCAGAGCTCTGCCTACAGGAAATAAACTGAAGATCTACCACATGTGGTTTGGCTTGGTTTCCTTACTTTATATCCTTCTCCCTCTGACATCAGCTGCTTGTTATTCCCATCACTCTCATCATAGCCGGTGCCATCTTCCCCACGCTCCTGCTCTGCGTTGCTCATCCTGCTGGGCTCTGAGGAAGGCAGGCTGGATGGGATGTGGATGGGAGGCACAGGCTTGGAGGTTACCAGGCGCCTCTGGGAAGCTGACCTGGAAACTATTGGCTTCAGGGTAACCCCTCTAGGGTCACTGCAGTCAGTCAGGCCTGCAAAGCAGAGACACAAAGCATAATAGAAGTGGTACTACAAACCTAGAGCACCTGAAGCAACATATTTCATTGGGCAGATTTCTTGGAAACTTCTAAACAACTGCACAGGGAAAAATGCTCATGCTGGCAGCCACCTGAAGCAGACCAGTGGACAACTCTTACCCACTCCCACAGAGCCACCAGAGGAACATCCTGGTCCTCTGGGCTCCCATCAGACAACAGGGAGCCCAGGGACTGATGCTTACCCAGAATACATCACCTGCACATCCACCCTCCTGCTCCTCTCTCTTCCCCACAGCTGTACACCCCTACAAGAACAGGAGGGCTATGCAGGGGACTGAGAGCAGGGAATGTTATTGCAGGGGGGCACATGCAGGGGACAACTGTTCCCGGGGAATGTGCGCTAGCTCTCTACACTGGGAAAAGACCCTTCTTCCCGCAAGAGAGCGGACAGACTCCCATCTTACCTCTCTGTGAGGCTAACAGACCCTCAGACATCCTCCTCATCTTCAGCTTGCCCTTTATCAGAATGGTTGCCAAGGCAGCACTGCTCACCTCCCTCTCCTGGGGGTCCTGGGGCAAGGCTTGGTGAGAAAGTGGGGAGAGATCACCTCCATACTCAGCGCTGTGGTCATGCATGCTCGCCTTGCCGACCGGGCCACCCAGGGGAGAGGTGGTGCTTGGGTATGGAGGTTTCTCAGCTTCATCCCCATGCCATAAACTCAGCTGCTTCTTCATCTGGGTTGTTAATATGGATTGAAAAGAAGCTGCAGATCTGGTAAAAGGGAAGAAGGCGGTTAGCTGACCTCACTTTTACAATCAACCACCTAAGGAGTGGTTATTTATCTAATTAAATTACCTAATTAATCTATTAATCTATTGATCTAATTCATAATCATTCAGAAGACATTTTGGTTTTATTTTCCTTAGAACTAGTGTCAGTGTAATTCTTCTGAGCAGCGTTGAGCTAGCAAGCCAGGAGAGAGAGGCTGAAGGCCCCACTGGTAAGAGGGGAAAAAAGATTCCCGTTGCAGGACTTGGCTCCTGTGAAGACAACCAGTAAACACCCGCACGGTGCTACTGGTATTTCTGGAAAGCAGCAAGACATCTCAGCAAGCAGGCAGACCTTGCCAGTGTTTCTAGAGCACCATCCCATCCTCAAGGTCAGATCTGACTGGCAAGCAGAGGAAGAACAGGGCATTTACCTAGGGCCAGACCACACATTGATAGCAGGGATAGAAACAGAACTCATTACCATGAACATCTCACTACCATGCCCGATTTATGGCCAGCTGGACCACAGTCCCCATCCTGGCTGGCAGTGGTAGGATCAAGTAGTTGATCAAGGAGAAAGTGTAACGAACTAATGATAAAGAGATGTGATGCCATGCACACCACTGGAGGAGGGCAGGTTCAGCCACCTCCTCTGACACAGAGCCAGCACGTTAGGACTGACCTCCAAGGTTCATTTCTCCCTGAAATCGGGTGGGCTTTTCTCATTTGACTAAAGCCACCATTGCATATTCAACCCCTTTCCATCCTCACCTTCTTCAGTGGTCCAGCTGCTGCCACAAAACTGCAAGTTCGAATCAATGCTTCCACCTTGCAGAGCTGTGTATCTATCTGGGTTTGAATTTGGGCACAGTCCCACAGTAGACAGCAACTGGGCTGTGGTACTTAGCTTTAAAATAAGGACAGTACAAACGACTCAAATTCACAGCATTTGACATGGAAAGGAAAAAGCAGACACCGCTTCTCCCTTGAAGACTGAGACACCAGTAGTGACGTGTAGTCCTGGCCTATGCAAAGGTCTGTTTGATGTCACAATATCCTGCTTGGTGAGGGGTTCGCATTCCAGCGCTTTGACAGCTCAACATTCTACAAATTTGCATGTGTTTTGCTAGCTGCCCATCCTGGATTCCTTTCCTCTCCTTTCAAAGGGTAGGCAACCCACAATGGTCTCTTGTACTGGTATCTCTCCCCAAAGCTAGTATGAAAGTCCTTTGTTTCTGCAATTCCTACTCCATTTGGGTTGGGTTTTGCTGGGTTTTTCACTTCTCTGCACAACAAGAAAGTACGAGGACACAATCAATTAAACACCAGGTGTTATACCTAAAAGCAGGTTTGCACTCTGTACCAGATGTCCCTAAGGTTCAGTTGGGCTTACTTGATTACTTTGTCTGTAGGATGCAAATTGCCCACCCAAACGGTTCTCCTTTGTTCTGTTTCACTGTTACAGGGGTTTATTCCCTGCTTTCTTTGCTGCAGAGACACCCAAAACCAACATAAACATGGCCTGCCTCAAAAAAATTTTGCCATCTTGGCTGTTGCTGAAAATTCGAAATTTTACACAGCATTTTTCCCTGCCCCTTATCCTGGCCAGTATCTCCCCCATTACCCGGCCTCTAAGGCGGGGCTCTCACTTGTACAGCATGAAGAATAGCTGCTGCACTTGCCAGCATCTCCAGGGTCTCGTGATCAGCGCTTTGACTGCAGCTTTTGTACACGCTCTGCCTCCCTGAGCCAAGCAGCATTCCTGGGCACCGGCGCTGCCACTGCAGGCGAGCATCCTCCAGGCAAAGGCTGCAGGAACGGGACTGCAACAAGCCCTGGCTGAAGAAGTCTCTGGTCTGCTGCAGCCCTTTACCTGCTGCAAACTCATCTTGTGTTGCCATGTTGGGGCAGGGGACAATGGGCTCTTTGCAGATGAGAGTTTACTCAATGTGCTGCTGGGTGCTGGGCCTGATACAGCTGCTGGCGGGTTCCCCTGCAGCATCAGGTACCTGCATGGGAAAATAGCACCGTTAGTACAAGTGACAGCCACCAGTCTTTGGCATTGCCCTGCCTACAGGGGTTCCTGCGCACAGAACTGCTCAAGTCAGGTGGTGCTAAAACAACATAAAAATGTCCTTGAGTTATGCTTTTTCCATATTCTGTCAGGATCATGGCCATAAAGTCCAAATACTGGAGGAATACTGCTGTCAGCATAACGGGGGAAACATAACTCCACCCCAGCAGCTGCTCTCCCCATGGCTGCACGAGCACGGCAGCAGAGGCGGATCTCCCACCGTGCCCACTGCTGTTGGACCCAGTGCAGTGCCTTGCAGTTGCTCCCACTGAACTCAGCGCTGCCGCTGCAACAGGAGCATCATTTCACACATTTGATAACAACCACTGGACTTGCCCCAAGAACACCTGAAAAATTGGGGGGTAGAATAGTTTACTCCTTTTTAAGATAAACTTTCCTGGATTTAAGGGGAAGCACTGGGCTAACAATACTGGAGACTAGTGTGTAAACTCTATCTCGAGCACGTTCCACCAGTCTGAAAAAATTTTTTCCATAGAAAGGGGTAGGGGAGATTTTATGACACATCCATGGATAATTCTGAGCCACAATTCAACCCACAAGCCAAATATTTCCAGATCTGCTACCCATTGGTAAAAGAAAGAGAAAAGCAGCTGAAACAATGGCTGTTGTAGGCAAGTTGCCTGCATTTATAGTGTTGCTGAGGTACCTATAGCACCTGCAGCACCTCAGACAGCCTGAGGCTACAGCTTAACCCATATTTAGAGATGCCAGCTATCCAGGAACTGTCTGCCGTGTCACATCAGCAAACGCACATCCCTCGGGACTAGTGGGGTTGTAGACAGTGTTCTAGTGTGCAGGATATAGGAGGGTAAAGGAAGTTTATTCTTAGCCCTTCAGGTTAGTGCTATAGCAAAACGTGACCCTTTTCAGCCTCAGTCCCTGCAGTCTCTTTCCTTAGCGGTTTGGTTGCTTTCACTTCAACACTCTATAGAGACCTTTTTTCACCTTCTGACAGAGACTTGAGTCACCATCCAGGGCTTTGGCTTCCTGAAACTTACTGGCCCATTGCTTATGGCCTAAGTGAGAGGAAGGAGGGGATTTTGCAGAGGACGCCTTAGGAGAAGAGGTCAGGATGGTAAGCCAGCAGTAAAATTCCTATAAAAAACATCAGTGAGTACAGAAGGATGCCAATGTGAACTGCTTTTGAAAATCCACTCATAGGTGCCTCTAAAGCTCTGCAAACAGAATGACTATCACACGGTAGCTAAGTGCAGCCAGAAGACTCAATCACAGACACAGTTCACTTAAGTATTACAGAAGGAAAAATGCCTCTGCACTTGATGGAAGAAGCAAAGGCAGGTGCCTATTAATGGGTTCTGTAAGCTTAAAACAAATGACAAAGAATGCCTGTACAAGGAGTTCAGGTACGCTACTATCAATCAAACTTACAATTAGATAAAATGGTATCCTCGAGCAAACTTCAACAGAAATTGTTCCTCTTGCAGCAAGGCCCTGTACTGCTCCACCCTCTGCCCAAGAGATGTAACTCCGCTCAAAAACTGTCAAAGTATTCATCTGGAGTAAAGCAAGTGAATTTCAGAAAGGCTGGAGCTAGCTAAGACAGTTAACCCACTTCTGGCTTTCATCATTTTAGTTAGTCTAGATAAATTGCCAGAGGCATCTTAAGGTCAAGGAATGAAGGTGCTTAGAGGTTTTTTAGAGCCTAATTCATCGGAGCTTTCAATGAAAGGCAGGCACTAAATAAATAACCTTAAAAATACAAAGGTAGGTCTATTTGGACTGTGTACTTTCAAACAAGGAACAGAAATATCATTGTGAGTGGGACTAGGGCATAAAGCAGGGAATAATGTCTATTTTCTTTGGTCTCATTGCATAGGAAGAAGAAGTAGAAGAAGTATGCCAATGTTGATTTTGGCTGGTTAAGATCACCTCAATGGAGCATGCCCCATTGCTTAAGGTATTAAAAATGCCCAAGAGAAAGCAGTAAGTAGCAGAAATGGATGTATCCTGTAGCTAGGACAGAAGGCTGCCTCTGCCACTAACTTAACCTGTGACACAAAGGCAGGGTCTCCATGCCTGAGTTTTGCTCCTCTGCCAGGCTGTCCCACCTAAACGCAAGCATGCTATAAAATGTGATGAGAAGGGGCATTGACACCTGCATGGCCCCCAAAGGCTTAATTGTCTAAGTTCAGGGCATAGTTCCTAATTCAGGCCAGCTGCATGATATGGAAAACCCCAAATGTACAGCTGTGTAGGGCCATCCTTTTCTCCCTTGCACCGAAACCACTGTAACTGGAATGGTAACGGTGGAGAAATTTGCCTGGAGCCTAGGGGAAGCACTGTGTGTGCAGGATTCATCTTCTGTCACTGCTGACAGGAGCATGGAAAACAAGCTGGTGCCATTCTCTGTACAGAGGAGAAAAGTAGCAGTACTTTGCTGCTGAGTGAAAAAAAAGTGCTGTGGAGGTTAAACCCCATATCTCAGCAGCCAGAGGCTTGTTGTGAGGATAAAATAAAATTGGAGTGATGACAGTTTTGTTTGGGGGTTTTTTGTCCAGTAGATTTCAGCTTACAGGGCCATAATGAATCTGTAGCATAAAGTTTTTGTGCTGAGTAAAAAGCCATCGCCCAGTTTCCTCAGGCCTGTGGCAGAATCACACAAGGTAGATCCTGGGCTACTAACTGCATCTCCCCCCACTTTTCTCAGTTCTTGCTGTCAAAGCCACTTAGGTTAGACACACAGCTCACAAGAAGTGCTCCTGTATCTTTCCACACAATGATCCAAGTGAGACTACACATGCAAAATCTGTTTTCTCTTACCATTCAACATACTGTTTTGAGGAATTTCGGAACCAGCAGACTTGCTTCCTCAGATATTTACTGTGCACGGCAAGGAGCACAGACAAAAGATGTAATGTGAAAAGCATCGCTCTTTTTACAAGTTCTGCCCTCAGCTTTCATTGGGAAGATCTTAAAAGTTCAATGTCCCAGTGGCTGCTTCTCAGCAGAGCAAAGCTGCTCAACCATGAAACAAGAGTTACCACAAGCAGCAGCTTACCCAGGGCAGCAAATCAAGAGTTAGGAATAAGCTGATCTGAATGCCAAACCTCATTAGCTCCTTCAAAAAGCACTTCAACAATCCCTCATTCCAGCTCTAATGAGGTGTTGTGCTGGACGCCACGGTTATTTGAGTACTGTACACAAGTTTGCCCCCACTGAGTGCTGTGACAGTTTCTGTTGGAGTGGTGACCAAGGGCGGTTGTTCCCCAAAGGTGGGTGATCGATTGCTCTGTGGGGACCTATCACCGCTGGACACAATAAGGGGAGAAGGAGCCAAGTACACTGATGCACCTTTGCCTTGAGCATAACTCAGCCTCAACCAAAAGTGTTGAAAAGTCTCCCCTCCTTATGGAGGCACTTTGAAGAAGACTCTGAAACTGCAAGATCCTGAGCCCATGCAGGGGTTCACAGAGCACCTCATGCAGAGGGGTCTTCGCCCTGAGGGGCCTCCGGGTGCTAATGCTGGATGAACACTAATTAGCTGACAGGTGTAACGCTGCTGGGGCTAGCAGTAGAAAAAGCACGCAATGACCAGCTGCTGCTTCTCTTCTGAGAGCAGGGCCTTCATGGCACATAGGATTTCTGCCATGAAGGACTCTAGGAAAGGCTCTAGATGCCCAACACTCAAGGCTTGGGTACAGAAGCAGTCGCAATCAGCACCTTGAACTAATACACCCTTAAATTAAGTCCAACCAGTGGCCCATGTCATTTTCCTTAGAAAGAACAGGCTCATCTCCCTCACTGCCTTCCTCTCAGCTGCCTCGGGGAGAGGGGTCTCCCACCCCAGACCGCTGTCTGAAGCCATCCCAGAGAGCCACTAAAATACATTCCCTGGCCAGTATTCTTCTCCTGCTAGGGCTCTGCATACTGTTCCACACATCTTTCATGAAGGCACAAACCAACTCCAAGCACTCTGACGACAGCAGGTTTCTACAAACAGCTGCATAAATGCAAGAAAACTCCACGTGAGCATCCCAAAGGGCTCTGCCCTCTTTCTGTGTAATCATCAGGCAGGGAAATTCTCAATGATCTGAGGCAATTTTGCGCAGCTGCAACATGGGATCTGAGTTTTGTATTGAAATTTTTCATTACAAGTAACAAGCACTGGGAGCACAAGGTGCAGGGCTGACATGCAAAAGCAGGAGCATATCCTCTGAAGAGACCAGTTTAATTGTCCATTTTATTACTCTTCTATCTATTCCTCTAAAGTCCCAGTACTGTTCTTAGTGCTGTATGAACCTTGAAATACAACAGTTTGCACTGCTCAGAATTTATTCCCTGGTCTTCACAGCACCTTTAAGCACCTCTGTCTTGTTCAGGGCCTAAGTCCACCATTCAAGCATCACCAAAATATTTATAGCTTCCGTTCACATAATCTACAAGGTATCACCTAATGCCACAGGCATTTAAATCCCTAGAGTGCCCAAGTGTCCATGGGCTGATGCCTGCTAAACACAGGGACTGTCTTGCATCTGACCTGCCGCTCCAAGCCCCACACCGTGGTGACCAGAGGACCCAATGCAGGATCTTCGGTCAAGGCAGACAGACGCCTATTTTCCAATACCTACCAGCTGGCAGCATCTACCTTGGGTGAGCTGGAGGCCACCAAGAGGTAAAGGAGTAATAGGCTGTTTCTGCAACAAACTGCAATGCTTGCAGGGAGGGGGACAAAAAAGAGCTGTCAGATATGAACATGCAACACAGGAGAGCTGGCTGACAAAACTTTGCAATGGTTTGGCTCACTGACCTGACTGAAAACACGACATTTCCCAACTGCCATCACTT